AAAAATATTATATGGAATTGAACGAAAATGAAAATTTGCTTGATAATTCAACTACGCTTGTTGGAGAACAATAAAAACACTACACTCAACAAGCCACCAATAAAACTCAACTGCCTAACCTATAACCAAAGTCTCCTTTTAATTTGTTTTTAAAAGAAAGCGCTTGACAAACTTGCCCCGCATGCCGAAGTTGCCCCGGTCTCCCCTACATATAGATAATATAATATTATTTTGCCTTTATAGACATTTTATGCATGAACTTCAGCAAAAATGGTTTTAAGAAAGGCTTTAGATTTGAAACTTAATTAATTAATAACTTCTGTGCCTTTTGTCGAAAATGTCTGAAATTTTGCAGGTAGATTTGTGTATTAGGAGGATTGATACTATTAACTTTTGGTGGTTAAAGTGTGTTTTGGTGGTTTTTGGGAGTCGGAAACAGATTAATCCATATTACATTGTTTCTTATGGGAAAATCGGTTTTCGAACAACTTTTAGAAACGAATTATGTTCGAAACCCGAGGTTTGACTGTACTGTATTAATAAATGAAAATGATATTAAATCGTATTTCAATTTTCATATAATTATGAAAAATAAAATGGAAATTAAAATATTTATTTGAATATTTTCAATAGAATACAAATACAGATTGATCGATTTTGTAAATAAAAACTGTAGGAAACAATTTTACTTTCCCTGCTGTTATATGTAACATTAAAAATGCTCAGCAAATAAACTCATATAAACAAGACACCTTAATTTGTTGCCGAGAAATATATACTTTTGAAACAAACAAACGTTTTCAGCTGATTAACAGGCCATCTTCAGGTCAAAAAACGAAAAAGGAAGGTTCCATTTTCTTTTTTTTTTATTTGAAGATGGCCTGTTAATCAGGTTGAAAACGTTTGTTTGTTTCAAAAGTATATATTTCTCGGCAACAAATTAAGGTGCCTTGTTTATATGTTATATGTAACAGAGGAAAAGTATGGCGATCGATCAAAAAATGACCCCCAAGATTTTTATATTCTTGGACTTGGGAGACCTTGAAAAGTCGAGAAATTCAAAAAAAAGTTGCCGTTTTTTGGAAGGATTGATACTATTAACTTTTGGTGGTTAAAGGTCGAGGTGTGAAAAGATAGAGTAATGTGTTATCTATCCAGTGGTGTCTGTTTTTACTCATTATTATTATTTACAATTTTCATAAAACTCGTCTCTACCCTCAAAATTAAGGTTTTTACCATTTTATAATAATTAATAATATAAAAAGTTTTTAATAAAATCTCATAACAAATGACGCACACACAATTATAACTCTTGTCGGAAAAGTTACGCAATTCGTTGCTGGATTTTCTATAAAAGCATTATCAATTATTTAAAGCTGAAGTTGATTAAAAATGCTCAATAACTTTTCTTATCTAATTTTTATTCAATTATATAATGAAAATATCATTAATTGTTTTTAATTTTATTTTTCCCTAATTTACACTAGGCCTATACAGTATATAGAAATTTTAAAATAATTTTACAAATTATTTTCAATAAAATAAAAAAACTTTAAATTTTTCTTCATGAGTACTTACTTTGTGTAATAAAAAGAAACAAAAATATTTTCTTTAACATGCTGATCCAAATTAAAACTATTTTACGAAGACTTTATTATCCTGTAAATTACATTATAATAAACTTTTAAACTGATAATTATTACTTTAATTAGACTTTAATTTCAATACTATAACTTAAAATGCGTACATTTTAATGGTAATTTTTATATTCATAAAAAAATTAAAATATTTTAATATCTTAATATATAAGAGAATTATCCATCTAACCTGCTATCCAGATTTGTTCAATATAATGACTTACAATGTATGTACAGTCACGTATAAATCCTAAAGCAGCTTATTAAATACTTCGTCTAAAATAAATACACGATATTTTCGTGAATTTGAATAATAAGACTTCAGTTGATTAAATACAACAGGACTCATTCAAAACCGGAAGCATTGTGTATTCATATAATTCTGTATGAATAATACATAGAATGAGATTTCCTTTTAAGTTTATTATAAATTTGAATTGAATATGGGAAGCAAGAATCAGACAATGACTACGTAATATTGAAAAACATAAGTTTAATATATATCTATAATAAAAAATATAAATTAATTCATATAAATTAAATAATTATATGTATAGGCCTAAGACATTATTTTTCGACATATTCCAATCAACATCATGTAGGCTATATGCATATAATTATTTTAATATATATATATATATATATGATGTTGATTGGAATATGTCGAAAAATAACGTCTTAGGCCTATACATATAATTATTTAATTTATATGAATTAATTTATATTTTTTATTATAGATATATATTAAACTTATGTTTTTCAATATTACGTAGTCATTGTCTGATTCTTGCTTCCCATATTCAATTCAAATTTATAATAAACTTAAAAGGAAATCTCATTCTATGTATTATTCATACAGAATTATACGAATACACAATANGTAGTTGCGCACAAAAATCCAAACAAATCAGTAAATAATATTAAAGATTGATTATACAGAGTTTAGATTAATCTATAAAGTACGGTAGCTCAAAAAAACATCGCCGTTCTTCCTGCATTTCGTCTCTGAATCTTGAACAGTTTATTTTTCTTATTCTCGGATTGGATGGATCCTTCCAGTAGGACCTTCGTCCCCACATACACATATATATGTTATATGTAGCATATAGTTGTATATATATATAATTGTATTGTGTATTCGTATAATTCTGTATGAATAATACATAGAATGAGATTTCCTTTTAAGTTTATTATAAATTTGAATTGAATATGGGAAGCAAGAATCAGACAATGACTACGTAATATTGAAAAACATAAGTTTAATATATATCTATAATAAAAAATATAAATTAATTCATATAAATTAAATAATTATATGTATAGGCCTAAGACGTTATTTTTCGACATATTCCAATCAACATCATATATATATATATATATATTAAAATAATTATATGCATATAGCCTACATGATGTTGATTGGAATATGTCGAAAAATAATGTCTTAGGCCTATACATATAATTATTTAATTTATATGAATTAATTTATATTTTTTATTATAGATATATATTAAACTTATGTTTTTCAATATTACGTAGTCATTGTCTGATTCTTGCTTCCCATATTCAATTCAAATTTATAATAAACTTAAAAGGAAATCTCATTCTATGTATTATTTATACAGAATTATACGAATACACAATACAATTATATATATATACAACTATATGCTACATATAACATATATATGTGTATGTGGGGACGAAGGTCCTACTGGAAGGATCCATCCAATCCGAGAATAAGAAAAATAAACTGTTCAAGATTCAGAGACGAAATGCAGGAAGAACGGCGATGTTTTTTTGAGCTACCGTACTTTATAGATTAATCTAAACTCTGTATAATCAATCTTTAATATTATTTACTGATTTGTTTGGATTTTTGTGCGCAACTACACTGTCCTTTGTCTAAAACATTTAATTAATTACTAATTCTTCAATAAATACCTCTTAAAACTTGATTTTTTCATTTTCCATCTTTTCACTCTCTCTACCCAAGCTAATATAAATTTAAATACAATTTCTGACGGCATTTTAATGATCTTAAAACATCTCATTATTGAAGGCCTTAAAAGATGCTCTGTTACGAGTGCGCGTTACTGTGAACTTCAACAACCTTACAGAAACGTCAATTTACAGACCAATGTCTTTATATAAGATGGAGCATCTTCCCATATTGGACGACAAGAGTCAAGGAACTGCTTCGTGCTAACTTTGGCGAGGATTATGTAATATCCAGAGCTTCTCACGATACCTGGCCTCCTCGTTCACCGGACTTGAATCCAATTTTTCCATCGTCATTTCAATTCAAAAATTTTTCCCTAAAGGGAGTTAGACAGATGACCGGCACGACTTTATTGCTAGCGGAAAAGTATTATGTACAGGAGCAAGCTGCTACTAATTTGAGATGAAGAGCATATATTTTAAATGAAATAAATTAAAAATATGATTAAAAATTGCACTCCGGCATTGTGATGATGTCACAATAAATAATTGCTCGTTAAAATTATTTATGATAAACAATTTATTATAAATTACTGCAATCATACAGTTACACAGATTGAAATTAAAACTAATTACATCATTTTAGTTTCTTCAGTTTAAATTGGGTACTAAAAATCAAATATAAAAACTACAAAATGGGATTTTAAATTTTAAACAGAAAATATAGAATAGGTTTCATCGTAAATATACAGTAGCTTCTTCTGAATTAAGAAATGAACCAAGTCGATTTCTATAAAAACATAAATAATAAATTTAATAACGAAAAAATAAATCAAATCATAACAGAAAGAAAAATCAAATTTGTAAGATAACAAAATATGCATACTTCTTCAATATCTTCTCTGACATCTCTAAGATATTTACTGCATTCAAATCTATTATTAGGAGGCTATAATTGAAAATTAAACTCTTTAAAATACTTCTTATTCAATAAACATTTTCGAAAAAGTTTTATTTTCTAAAAGTATGTAATTTTATTACCTTGATATCCCTAGATCCAGTTTTCATTATCTATTTTTAAAATTTAAATTACATTTAAAATTTGATTTCGCACTTGGGAATTTATATTAAGTATTAATTTTGTTCATAAAAAATAAGAAATAATAATTATTATTGTATTATCATTCTTTATTCTTAGATAAAAATACTAATTTAGCATATTTTAGGTTAAAATAAACTATTTACTTACGACTATTCTTTGTTTTCCTCTCACCTAAATAATTTAAAAAATTTTAAATACTATTTTATAAAATATTAAAATTGTATATATTAATTTAATCAAAACTAAAATATACAGTTAGAAATATTTTAAAATTATTTTAATTCAAATACATTTTATTAAAATCATCATTAGTAAAATTATTAAAATTTTATAATTGTTTTCAGATTTGAAAAGTAATGTAATAATAAAAGTGAAATACCGTAGAGGGTCTTGCAGATAATTTTGGTCCGTTAAATGGTCTCTGAATTTTAATTTGTTTATAAATTAAGCATATGTCTTATAAAAATAAATAAATAAATAATTCATTTATTACCTTAGTAATATCAGAACCAAATAACAAACTTGGTGACTGGTAGAAGTAACAAATAGCTTTTATTATTATAAATACTTTCATATAAATAAATAAATAAAAATTTACATCCAAATAAAATATTTTCTCTTCGAATACAAAAAATTCTATGAAATTAACTTACATTCTCAGGCCGTGATCGAATAGATGATGGACGCTGAATATTTTATAATTATATATTTATTTAAAATATTTTATACTATTTAAAATTATTATATATTAAAATATACACATTAAATAATCTTACTCTTCTTCTCTCGATAAACATTTGATCATTTGAATAAATCTGGGTATTTTAATAATATAATATTATGTTAACGAAGTTATCGAACACACCTTTATAATGTTTTTATTTTATATTAAAATATATATCACTCACTACATATGGCTCGACAGTTGTATCTGTAAAAGACTCTTCCAATATTCCGGAATCTTTAAGCGAATCAATTAAAGTTTTTGTATGTTTCTTGCAAATAAAATATCATCATATTGAGTATGAAAGTAAAAATTATTATATCAAATCAAACTAAAATTTTATATTATTTAATTAATATTATAAATCACCGTTTCCCAAAGTGTGGTACGTGTACCCCGAAGAAACAATGCAAATTTCGTCTATGTACCAGTGATGCATAAAATAATAAAAAGTACTATAGTAACAAATTACTTTTAACATATATATTTCGTATGAATTCTCCTATTCAAGTTGTGATAAGTGTTGCATTTGGATAATTTTCGAAAGACTTTTTTTGACAAGGGATAATCTGTACTTAAGAACAGGTACACGAATTCCAAAACTTTGGGAAACACTGCTATACTTAATAAAATGTTATATGACAATTTATGTTATAAATTTTTCGATATACCTGTGGAATTTTTTGAAATGCGAACGCTGGCTATTAGAAAAAAAATTATTAATTATGTATTTAATATTTATTTATTTTTTAAATCTGTTTTTTGTTTTCCTTTTTTGTCTCATTTACCTGAATGACGCTGTCTTGAGCTAATTGGGAGAATAATTGCGATTGTTCAATCGGATAACTTGAAGGAACGTATTCGGGATTCTGGAAAAAGCATCACTGGATTTTATAATTATTTTTGAAATATTTAAGTTTATATTATGTTTCTACAAAATATTATTACGTAAGCTTGACTTTCAGTCATACATTCGCGCATTATCTGTAAAGGAATAAGAGTTAAATATCTCAAAAATAACTATAATTTTTTGTATAGAGATAATTATATTTTCTTACTTTATGGAATTTTGTTTCGTTCGATTTAGCGCTCTCTAAGGAAGAGACACAACATGCCATAGCTCTTTCGGTAATAATGGGTGATTTCTGTAAGATATATTTAAACATAAATTCTTGTATCTAATATTTTTACTTAAAATTAAAAAAATAATTATATTTTTCCTAAGCATATTTTGGTTCGAAATTTTAATTAGAAGAAACTTAAAATTATGAATTTTAAAATTATTATTTTATTAGGATTAAATGATGATTTAAAATTGCATATTGTAATAATACATTATAATATGCAGTTTTATACATTATACGTTATAAATATATTATAATTCAACTCACCATCTTTAAGCTTTGAAAATTCGTTAAAATTTGACTGCCTTTATATTAAAAAAATAATATACATATAACATTTATAAATCATAAGAAGTTTTAATATATATTCCTGAAATAAAAAATATATATTTACCACATATTTTGATGAAGAATAAGAAAATAACTGGCAGAAGTATTTCTGATGACAACCGCTTCATGTCGAATGTTAAAGTAAAAGTCCTAAACATTATTTTAATTCATTTATTGATCAAATCAGCTGAACTAATGATGATAAAATGCAGGATGTTTTGCTATTTTAATAACATTGGCCTAATTTTAGGCTATTAAAATAACTGAAAAATATTTAACTAAAAATAATAACTTTCTATGAAAATTTTAAGATCTAAACAGGCAAATTTATTTTAAGAATTAATTCATATAAACTCATATAGTTAAATAATTAAAGGAATGTAGCTTTGCCTTTAATTACTTCGAAGTTAAATAAATTACAATAAGGAACAAAGAAATAAAAAATAAAAGTGCTATAAATTAACAAATTCATACTATTTTGGCTATTTTTCATTAATATAATGCTAAATTATGTATAGGCTTATACTGTATAATAACTATTTGTATATTCATTATAAGAATACAAATAAGAATTGTATATACAATATATACAATTCTTATATATAAGAATAAGAATTTTTACAAGAATAAATATCAAACGTTGCATATAAAAAATCTTTAAAAATCATTAAAAATACGTTTACATTTATCTTTTATCTTAAGAAACTTAACAATTAAATAATTACTGGTAATTTATATTTTGAATATTTATTGTAATAATTATTATCAAATTATAATACTATTAATGTTTATTATATTATATTGTATTTAATATTAAGTTTTTATGATATCACTTTAAATATTATTACTGTAATTTCATATTGTATTATAAAATACGTAACATAAAAATAAAAGCCGATTTCTATTTACTTCATTGTCTACTTTAGACGTTGTTTATTAATAGGACTTGTTACACTGGTGTAATGGTAACAAACAAAAAACATATGCATTGAGAGGATTTTGATACAGACAAAAATCTATATATCATATTTGTGAAAAAAGTACAGTTCAATTATCAGTGTAGCTTCCTTTGGCCTTTAAAGCCTTTTTAATGCGACCAGGCATAGAATTAATAATTCCTGCAATTGTGCAATGGCTTTTTGTTCCAAAAATCCTGTACATGTTCTCATAATTGGTGGATGCTTTCGAACGGAGCTGCATAGTCAGACAAGCGACGTTTAAGAAGGAAACAGATGTGTTCGATCGTGTTGAGATCAGGCAATTGAGGCGAGCGAGCTATTATTTTGATCCCGAAGCCATGACATTGTCCTCCTGGATGTATATTTTGGATCAATTATCTTGCTGAAAAATGAAAGAGCTCCTATCAATGTGGTAATAATCAACCGATTGCAACAAATAATTGTCAAGTATCTCAGTGTAAATAACGCTATCCATTCTATTAGGTATAGAACATAGCATTCCAGGCCCAAAATAGGTAATACCACCTGAGACCATAACGCTACCACCACCAAATTTCAATGTTGTTTGTACTTCTCGCTCAGTTATAGACTTTATCGATGAAGTCCAGACCCATTTTCGTCCATTTGAACCAACTCTATTAATTTTGAATTCATCTAACCATACAATCCTCTTCAAATCTTCTAAGGTTCAGTCTTTAAAGCGCTTGGCATGCCGGTCATTTCGCGAAAATACGGTATAATCCCCATCCTAAAATTTATGGACAGGACAGTGTACTTTTTCATTATAAGCTTTTTCTGTTTTGTGGGCAATAAAAGAGTATTTTTTCCATTTCCATCGTGGGTTGGCTACACCCACCATAAGGATGGTTGGATGGTGAGAGATAGGATCCTACAGACGGCCCATGAAAACTTCCTCGGCTGGATTTGATTCCGGATTCTCCGGGTTGGGTTGAGCTGAGGCCTTAGCCGCTTCAACCATCCAGCAGTTTTGAAGAATAGCTAAAGCTTAAACAATCAATATCAAACAGAATTTTTTACAAGTGAAAACAACCTTCCAGAATGTACTTTTAATACGTCACTAATCAAGAAAACTATGATCATTTAAGAATTTTTATGACGAAATACGATTGTAATCAATCGTTTCATTAATATTTTAAGTTTGGCATCTTGACTTATATGAATAGACCAATAACTTTTATTTTATCAGCTGTTAAGTAATAGAGGTGAAAGTATCGTAATCGGTCGAATTTTAATCCTTTGTTTTTTCATTTCTCGAAATTTTAAGGTCTATAATTCCAAAATCAAAAATAAAAAAAAGGATCAAAATTCTATATTTATGGGGCTGTGCATAAATTACGTAACGCAGATATGGGTGGATTTATATGCAGATGATAGTTACAGTGCGTTACAATGGGGTGAGATGTTTACAGAAATGCTACATAATGCTAGTCTCAACCCTTGGGTAATAGAATGGTTCATTTTTGTTTCCAAAGTGTTACTTACCTAACTATATTGTTTATTTTTGTGGCGTAGTAAACACTAGTATTGTGTTTACTACGCCACAAAAAAAATATTATTGTATGCATCTCAATATGATTTTCTTCACGTGTCTAACATCTAAATCGGGGCCCATATATCCCATAGAAAGTCCTTCCGGAAGGCATCCTCTTGGCGGATCGCTCATATATTGGTTTGTCTTATCTAGAGGATTTGATCCCGGGATCTCGAAAATCGGGATCCCGGGATCCCGACCACTTTTCAGTTCCAAAATTTTCGGGATTAAGTTTTCCTAATCCCGAGATTTTCGGGATTGACATCATTTTAAAAAAGTTGCAAAATAGACTGCATGAAGCGAAACGTTCAGTGCCAGTGCTTTTAACTGAATTGCTTGCCTATCATTTTAATATAAAATACAAGAAATTTTATTCCAAGCAAGCAGCAGAAATTAACCAAGCGGGCTTGCGATGCTTGCTTGGAATAAAACTTCTTGTATTTTCAACTAAAATGATAGGCAAGCAGTTCTCACTGGGTTACTTGGTAATATACTTCATTTTTGTA